TCTTCCTTAAGTTGTTCGATCCTTTCATGAAGCGTAAATTCATCATTCACATCCTCATTCGAAAGAGACACCAAGGGCGTAGCCCTGCTAAAAAACTCACTTGCCCAGAAAGTCATAGGAAACATAGGAAACATGGAAGGTATTGAAAGCCTTCTGGGCAACTTGCTTAATGATAATAACAATAATTAGAACCTTTTACATATACTAATTATGCAAAAACCAAAGACACCAACCTCGCAATCCTAAAAAAGTCAGTAATTTGACAGGTTCTCTTGGCGGCATTTGCAAGCGTACCAGAAGCACCGAACTTATGATAATACGTTGATTTTGGTAATCCTTGCATTTTCCTTTTTATCTTTCTCCCATATGATTGTTGGGGCCGTCATTGCTTCTTCATCAAGTTCTTTTCCACTTTCTTTATCAAATTCATTACTTTCAGCAAATATGTCCTCGCTAAAGACATCTTCAGGACATCTTCACGAATATCTTCAGCAAAAAAATCCTCCGCCCAGACGTCGTCTTCAGCAAAATTGTCCCTTCAAATATTCGAAACTTCCTTTCGTCTTTTTTTGGCTTGCTCTCTCCTTTTATTGTTATATTCTTGAAGCATCCGAATCATTTTGTAATTCTTTAGCTTTGGCATACTTTAGTGACGGTTTTCACAAGGTCAGATTAGTTTTTTCAAATAATGGAAAAAAAAAAAGGAAAAAAATTTTTTTTATATATAATTTCTGATGAGAAGTACCCGAATTTTCTGATATAAGGTACCCGAAAACAAAAACTTAACAGGACAAAAAAAAAAAAAAAAAAAAAAAAATCAAAAAGAATTCAGATCCTGGACGCCCCAACTTTAAATTCTTAAATCTGTGCTACACATTTCCTTCTCAGGTAAGTTATTGAGGCATGAGAATAATTTAATGTGCCTTTTAATATTAAAGGACTTTTTTCACACTATTTTCTCGAATAAGTATAAAAATTTTGCAAGAACATTCGGTTATCATATGAAATTTATAATCCTTGTAAGTATACACATGACTTGTGATCGACCAATAAAATTGCGAGTATGAGTAACATTAAATTTAATTGGCCGATCCAAGTCACGTTTTTTGTCCCATTTGTCATTAAGTATATACGAAGTGGGTTTTTTAAACAGTTATAAATCATAAATAAATAAGTTTTTTTAAAAAAAAAGGCCGGTAAGTTGTAGTAAATAGAATAAGCTACAATTTGACGGCTTTTTTTTTTTGTATGATTTTTCTATTATAAGTTATAAATTATTAAATTTATTTTAGTCTTTAAGTGTCGTGCACTGTATAATCATAAAAGCTCTTAAAAATGAAATTGATTATAAATTATTCTTTGTCGATGGTCCTGGAGATACTGAAAAAACTTTTTTGTTTAATTTGATTTTAGCAATAGTAAGAAAACATTTTGGTGTTGCTCTTGCAGTTGCTTCATCTGGAATTGCAGCTTTATTATTAGTTGGAGGAACAACTGCTCATTCAAGATTTAAAATTCCTCTAAATTTAACAGAAGCTTCTAATATAAATATTAGTGCTCAATCTGAATTAGCTGATTTAATTAGAAAAACAAAATTAATTATTTGGGATGAAGCACCAATGATAAACAAACTAGCTTTTGAAAAGCTCGATGTAACTCTTAAGGACATTATAAATAATCATGATGAATTATTTGGAGGCAAAATAATTTTATTTGGTGGTAATTTTAGACAAATTTTACCCATAGTAGTTCGAGGAAATTGTGCTCAAATTGTTAATGCTTCATTTAAAAAATCTTATTTATGGAAATCTATTAAACAATTAGCATTAACAATAAATATAAGAGTTCAAAGAAATAATGAGGAGGCAAAAGAATTTGTAGAATATTTATTACAAATTGGTAATTGTATTGAAAGAACTTATAATGAAATTGGTGAAGATTTTATTAAATTAGATAATACTATAGTCTTTAATGATGATAAGGTTGAATCATTAATATCTGAACTATTTAAAGATATTAATTCTACTGATAATTATTCAGCCTATATTAGAGACAGAGCAATTCTTACACCAAGAAATGATGATGTAGATGCTATTAATGAACAAATTCTTAATACTTTACCAACTCCAGGTACCGAATATTTATCTGCAGATTCTATTGAAGATGATGATTTGGATAGTCAACATCATTTTCCTGTTGAGTTTTTAAATACCCTTACTCCAAATGGAACTTCTTCTCATAAACTGGTACTAAAAATTGGAACTCCAGTCATTCTTTTAAGAAATATAAGTCCTGTTGATGGACTTTGTAATGGTACCAGATTAATTATCAAACAAGTTAATCAGCATGTTCTTGATGCTGAAATACTTACTGGAACTCATCATGGCAAAAGAGTATATATTCCTCGAATTCAAATAAAACCATCAGAT